TGCGTTAGACATTCGATGCCAAATCGGTGAGTCCCGCGACTTCCATTTAACGAAGCTTAACGTTCTACGCGAAAGGAAAAGTTGTTTAGAGGACGATGACGTGTCGTAATAGTTTTAAAACGAGGACGCTCTCGTCTTTCTCTCCATCTTCTCTACTTTAATAGTAACCTTATGCGATTTTATTCGTGCTTCCACCAAACGAACCGAATCGATCGAATCAACCAACCAACGATTTACCCGATAAAAAAGCTTTCCTCGATAGCTGCTGAATTTATCTAAAAGCTAGCTACTATTCTTTCCCTCTTCGATTAGTCAGAGAGAAGAAAAGTCCCAGCGGAAGTCCACTGCGACTGAAGATAATTTGTTCGAGGCGTCGTCGTCGTCGTCGTCCACTAGCTATTTTCTTTCTTTCTTTCTTTCTACCAGCGAGCGGGAAAAGAATTCTACGACGAAAAACTTGGACGAGACAGGGACGCTTAATTTTCTACCATTTCACGAACAAACGAATGGACGAATGGACGGACGGACGGACGGACGAACGGGAGTTACTCTTTTTGTTCGATTGCGAGAAAAGGATAGCCTGTAATAATAGCAAAGTATACTACTTCAGTTTTATTTGAAATCTCTTTTACGATATTTTTCATGCATCCTTGTTATATTATACCCATTCGTCTATTCGTTTAGAGTTCTATCAAGGAGGTAATAAACGTTACCCAAAATAAAAGCAAGCCCCCGTTAAATTTCAGTGGGAACGAGCGAAACGTGCCCAAGGCAACTTTTCTCTTTCCTTTTCTTTCCAATTTTTTGGTTTCTTTCGTTCTCTCCGTCTTTTTTTCTCTCCCCTATGTTTACCATTACTTAAGGCACTTTTCCTTCGGACATCATCGGTATCGCGCGGGCGCGTATCCGTGAACGTTTACTTAGGATTCTCTGTGCAATTTACACTCGACAAACATCAAACAATCCCGCGCGAATACACCGTCGCGGCGGAAGAATCTTTGAAAAGTAGGCAAGCGTTGATAAACTTTCATTTATATTATCGAGTATCATCCGTCCGTTGGGTTTTTTTTACTAATTTACGTTAGCCCCGGGCACAACTTGTCGTCATCGTCATCGTCATCGTATTAAGTATTCTCAAAGCCGGATGTTAGAATAGAAAAAGTTTGTATTTTATTTGATTTCTTAGTAAATCTCCGCGAGTTCGGTGGACTTTTAACGAGCTTTACTAGCACCGACGTATCTCCATCGAAACCTTTCGGTAAGCGGCACGTAACTGGGACTCCCGCTGGCTTTGCCCTTCTCGTAGATGAGATTATCGGAAGCTTTTCGGTGGATCCGTCCTAAAAGTTCGGCTTTATTACGCGCGTCGCTTACAACGCCTCGATAAATTCGTCTTTTTCGCAAGGGACAACTTTTCGCAACTCGTATAGTGTATGCTCGTTCGGTTTGAGTGACACCATCTTTCGATTCTTTTTCCCCGTCTTCCTTCTCTTCCGTCAAAGTGCTTTAATATAGTAATAATTATAATAATAATAACGATCTATTAAGGATTAGAAGAGAGAAGGTGGAGAAAAAAGAAAAAGTATAGCGAGCGTCTGTACAGCCCTCGTTAACGCTGGTCCTTTGTCTACTTACTTTTCCTCTTCGTTAATTTTTCTTCCCTCGGCAAACGTCCAAGGTAACTCAACAACGTCCTCGTCTTTTTCCATCCGATTCTTCGTTAGATTTTTTTCTTCCAATTTTCTACACTTTGACATTCTCGACGGATTTGTTTTATCTTCCTTCTTCTCGCTGTAATTCGTATCATCTTTTACTACATAATCGTTTGACGTAACTTATACATACATATATATCAATTTGCAACTTTTATATATACTCATTGAAGAGAAGAAACGTCCGTTTGTTCATCCTCCTTCCAACGATGTCGGTCGTATCCGAATGAACTTTCCTCAGAAGCTTTATTTCCCTCTCCTCGTATCTTTTCACTTCCGCCGCTATCATTGATCGAATAAGCTCGTACAACTTTTCTTCCTCCCTTCCACAGCATTTGACCACCCTAAACAATTTATTCTTACATCCTGCAGTCCTTTATTTTCGCGTTGACTTACGGTTACCCCGGCAAAATCTGTCCGATTTCTTTGCTCGTTTCTTTTTCCCCGAGTTTTTTTGTCAAATCCGTCGAAACGACATTTACTTCGATAGGATCGGTCATCGTTTCCTCTTTCTTTGTAATTTCTTCTTCGAAAACAATAGGGAAGAAATCTTTTGGTCCAACTGCATCATCATCATTCTCATCCATTGTCGTCGAATTAGTTAATACGATCCGTTGTTCCTGTTCGTCTTCCATATCCTTCAAAGACATTTCACGCTTCAATTGTTCGACTATAAGGTCCAAACTCATCTTAGCTTGGACGCTGGCGGTGTCCATCGAGTTAGTCGACGAAGAAACTTGGTGGTTCATTCTCGGATCGATTTGGACTACGTTAACCTCGGTTTCTTGCTTTCTGAAATGACGGAAATAACGAGAAACGCCTACTCATTTTGATTAACCGTGTTTTCGATCGAACGAGAACAAGCGCATATGTGTTCCACGTGTTTTTGACGGTTAGGAGTGGTCGTTTCGTAATCAGAAGCAATCGCTTTTGCGCGTTCATTAAATCGAATGAAATTTAATTGCAAACCCGGTACTCGAAAACTAAAATCGATCCACTCGATCGAGCGAGCGATAATAACGCGACACGAATGCGAACAGAATTTTCACGATATCGCAAATCTGGCATCACAAACTATGGACGGGAACGAACGTACTTGCTTTTTCGAGGACACGTCGATCCCATGGTTAGTCCTCCCTCCTCTCGCGTTCATCCAAATTCCTTACAAATCAAACAGTATTTCCCCCAATTTTCATAGGGTAAAGGTGGTGCTAGTAACTCGCCAAAGATATCCAAGGAAAATCAACTATATATAGGGATTGATAGCAACAATTTTTATCCATTTCTATAACATTACGAAAAGATTTGTCTATTTATCAGGTTAACCAAACGCGACGACGATGGAGAATCGCATTGTTCTTTTGTTTATCGATATTTTTAATTAGACGCGCGTAATATTGATATGTAAATAATTGCATTTCAATTCGTTTCGTACCGACACTTATTTATTTATTTATCTCCGTAGAATTTCAATGGTTGATTAAGTCAGAGCCGAAGGTAACGCATTGATCCAGTAGCTTTTTGTCTGATTAAGAGGAACGTTTGAAACGTACCGAGACTAGAAAATACATCATCCGCTTTTGTTCAATTTTTCGGTACGCGTTTCTCTACGTCGCGTCATATTTATTGCTTCGTTCTCTCTACATACGTGTGTATGTGTGTGTGGTCCCACGCTCGGGTCAAGTGCTCGTTGCGAGAGTGCGAGAGCCCGTTCAAATAAAGTTTCTCTGTTATTTATCCAATGTGTATATGCATGTACCGTTGCCCGGATCATACTTTTCGCGTTAAATCCCGATCTACTCTGGTCTATCGATCGAATCCTTTAATCGAGAGAAAAATCAAAGAAATAGATGAACTACTACTAATTATTGTTATTATTATATGATTAAAATGATTAAAAGCATTTACATTAAATTCTTGAAAAAAGCGTATCGCGTCGTAGGAAAATTTGATTTTCAATTCGATCCATGTTTATTCGAATCGATTCATCCGACCGAAAATTATATCACTATCGGAGTAAGAGTCAATGAAAATACAAAAGCTCGGGGTAATTTTTAAACGTGCATATAAAGCCCGAGGGTTCTACTGTATTTTTGTTGTTGTATTTTTCTTCTCTTTTTATTACCAGTATTCATAAATTCACCTCGACTGCGTAGACCTCCTGGCTTTCTCTCTCTCTCTCTCTCTCTCTCTCTTCCTCTCTCCTTTTTTTTCTCTTTTTAACAAATAAATCAGAATAATAATAGCGGAAAGAGGAGAGGATGGAAGAGTAGTTACGTTTTATCTTTTACAGTGATTCGGTCGGCCTCGGGGAAGGGGAAGGGGGGGGAGGGGTAGAACAAAAACTAATTTTGTTTCGGCAACGAGAACTGGAGAGAAAAATCCAATTGATCCGCCTCGGCTTTTCTTTATCTATTTATTTATTTATTTAGATAATGCATTAGAATGCGTCCCCTCAATCCGCGAGAATTCGAACACGCATCGACGTTTTGCCAAACGCGTACAGGGGGAAAATTCACGTTCTAACGTTAACTCGATGGTGCAATAGAAATTCGAGTGGAGTCGTCAAGGATCCTTCTATTAAACTTGACCTTTTGACGAGCATTCTCACATATTCCTTTCCCTCGCGAATCGTATTGGCATTTCGTTCGATATCACTCGAAAAATCATCTTCTTCTCTTTTGTTTATTTTTCTCTCCTCTATATAAGTATATATATATGTATATCTGAAATTTCAACGAAATTTCTTTTTACGATTCTTTTCCGCGATGGAATTTGCTTTTTACGTATTTCATTCAATCTCGTCACGCAAGTGAATTTCTTTCCATACAAAAATGTCTTCTCTTTCTTTCGCGTTATGCTTTGACCTTTCCACGTTGAATTCCCTTTTCTCTCGGAAACCGTGGAGAAGGAGATGGAGGAGGAGGAGAAGGAGATAAAACGTATCAATACCCTTCCCCCATTGTACTCGTGGACGCGCGTGGGAGAAAAAAAATAATAAAAAGGAAGGCAGGAAGAAGGGAGTTCCTCGTAGTCGATCGGGGACGATCGACCAGGCGGAGAAAACTAAGTTAAGTCGAAAAAAAAAAGGCAAAGAAAGATATAAAAAGGGCAAACGAAGACAGAAAGAAATAAAACAAGTGGAAGGAAAGAGGAAAAAAAGAAATAAAAAAAAAGGATGTGAAACGAGGAGATGATGGACTATGCGCATTGCTGCGAAGGAAAGGATAAAAAAAAAAAACAAAAAAAAGGAAAATGACGAGGAACGTCTCTCTTTCTGTCTTCCAGGCACGGCCGAGAACGATGCGGTTCAAGCCCTCCTGGCCAGATACCTGCAGAAACGTCTCCAAGGTACTCAACTGTCGACCCTACCGCCACCGGCAGTCATCTTCAACTCTCATCATCGGGCAAAAATTCGTCAGGCCGGTGCTAACCAAAAAACCACGAACACCGCCGGATTAACTCGCTACAAGGATAATAGGAAGCAGAAAGAGGACTACGTGGACGATGATTACGTGGATGATCTTCAAGGATTCGAGGACAGCAATAAGAGCAGGACTCGAATCGATCTTCTTGCTGGTAAATCCTTCCTCTTCTTCTTCTTCTTCTTCTTCTTCTCGTCATTTTCTTTTTGTTCGTGTTCTTCTCCTACTTCTATTTCTGTCCAACCATTTTTCTTTTTCTCGTACTATTATTAGTTTACTCTATCTTGAAAAACACCCAAGCTTTTCTTTTTCTCTCTCTCTTTCTCTACCTCGTTGCGACAGGAAAAGAAAGAAGAAAGAGAATTGGATGGAACTAGGCTGATAGATAGCCCGCAGGAGTACGCGATAACGAGGATATGCAGCTAGGTATCAATGCACAACGTCGACGTTGACGTCCAAGTTGACTTTCATTCTCCTCGCATCGATTTTCTACCCTTCCAAATCTAGCCCCAAACGTGGACTGGAAAAAAAGGGGAAAAAGAGAGTTGTCCAAGAGTAGAGGGAAGGGGGAGAGTGTCCACCTATGTTGATCCTTCTTCTTCTTTTTCTGCTTCTTTTTTTCCTGTATTCGCGCGGATCTATTTCCTCGAAGAAATATCGTTTTACTCCGAGGGCTTTGAGAAAAGCAGAGAACAGTAATTTCGTCGTTGATCTCTTCTCTATCCGCGGGATACCATCCTACGAGAGATTTTTCTTTCCAATTCGTTTTATTCGTCATCGAGTGGGGTATGCTTTATATCGATCTTGCGCGAAAAATGACGCGTTATCCATATTTTTTATTTTTCTATCTTTTTCTTTTTCCCAATTGCAACACGTCTCGGAGCTATCAAAATTGTTGATTATATTTCTCGGCAATGATGAAGGAAGAAAAATATTGAATAAATCCAAGCGAGGAGAAAAAATATTAGGGACGCATAATATATACCTATATATATTCCATTTTCCGTTTCATCAAACGTACGCATAACGTATCTAGAAGAATCCCGTTTATTCGCACGCGCGTCCTATTTCCGTCGGTCGCATTCTCTCTCTTGTCAGCGTTTTAAACGACCACGCCGGAGACGTACATTTACCGAATCGACTTGCTCAAACTATGAAATACGTATATATATATATATAGAATATATTTTCTACGTGCAACGGATACACGCGACATGACTTTGCTGTAACGTAATACGTAAAATATGCGGACAAGCGTGTGGCGTGTGTCCGCGTGCGTTCACGTATACATACATACGTATATACCTGTAAGCGAAAGCAGTCCGGCAATACTTCCCGTTCAAAGTATATCTGCTATTCGCGAGTTTATTCTCTAACGTCATAGATCGAGACAAAGCTGGGTCCTGTCTGTTTTTCCAAACTCCACCTATTCGTTTCGATAAAAGGTCTGATGGAGGATCGACCAATTTAAAAAATGCTTCAATGTCTTTTGATCTTTCGATATTTTTAATTATTATACGAGTATTTTCTCTCTCTTTGATTTCGTTATGCGAACGAAAGCTGTCAAAGATTTAATCGAGTACAAGGGGACTTTGATATCGAACGGGGGCTATTCAATATGCGATCGATCGACCAACCCAATCGCGAATAGTCGCCTGACACGAAACATCCGAATCACACGCATGCCGCCACGTCCGATTCCATTTTTATTTCATTTCTTTTCCCACGAAAATTTTCCTTATTCAAATTCTTTCGCGCGTCACTTGGCATCACTTTAAACGCAATTTTACCGAAAGGAGGGGAATTCATTCGAAAATTCCCATCGATATTTCCTTTTCATTTTCCCCCTTTTTTTTTTCCTTCCTTCCTTCCTTTCACCTACTATCTACCCTACAAAAGTATTGCATTTTGATGGGAAGGAAAAAAGAGTTCCATCAAACTTTTACGAATAATCCAGCAACAACGGCACCCTTTTTCTTTAACTCTTTTCCATTTGACGATGTGAAACGTGCCTGCAGATCAGAAATTGACAAACACTCTCACGGGTATTTGGACGCTCGCGGCGATGGGGTGTGAGCGCGGAGGGGGATGGGGGGTGCAAAAAGAACAGAAAGCTGAGAAAGTGAGCGCGAGATGGCCAATAAACGAAGCAGAAAGAGTATGGAAAGTGAAGAAGAGGAGAAGAATGGAATAGAAAACGAGAGAGACAAGGGATAAGATATCCAGTTGAAATTTAAAACGAAATAGAGTTTCTTCCAAAGGTGGAATCCTTTACCAATATTCTATTTCCTTTAAATACATAAGATCTAGATAAATACATGCACACACGCACACACGTACGCGTAAATAATTCTAAAATACAAAAGAGTATTTAAAGATTAGATTATTGTCACGTCTTTTTTTTCTAACGCGCGTATCCAATACATAAAATTTCAAGCACGCGTTTCAATTATAACTCAGGTGGTGTGGTGGGGAGAGGGAGTGAAGGTTTATGAGAAAGTTTGGCACGAGCGTGTCCCGAGTAAATGTTTAAATCAAGTTTAATTTGGTAAACGTTCCGCGATATCCGAACTCAACGGGAACGAAGGTTCGAGTACAACGTGAGTAATTTTAGCCGACAAACAGCGACTTTCTGTTCAAGAGTTTCCAAACTTCTGTTTGTCTTGATAACTCGCTCGCAAAAGCAAGACGGAGAGAGAGAGAGAGAGAGAGAGAGAGAGAGAGAGAGAGAGACAAGGAGTTGAAGAAGGGAGACAAAGAAAGGGGAAGCAGAAGGCATAGTTGAAGGAGGCAGTCGCAGAAGCGACCTCGATGTATACGGTTCGTATAAATAAAACGAAGAGTACTGGTGGCTTCAAGTTTTAAGTGGAACTCCATAAAGGTTCCGATAAAAGAGGTGGAGAAGGAGAAGGAAGACGAAGAGAAGAGGATTGAGAATAGAAAAGGGAGAGAGAAAGAGGGGAAGAGGGGGAGAGGGAGAAAAGGTTCAGCATCGTCGAGCATAATCACCCTTCTTGCGCGAACTATGATCGAGATTGCGAATGTGTCTTTAAGGAGGACATTCCTATCGATGTGAGAGGGTGTATGTATGGTGTGTGTATGTGTGTGCCTGTCTGTGTGTATTTTAGACGCTCCAGCATGATGGCATAATTCACAAACGTCCTACATGGTGTTTGGCGAAAGCATCGGTACCGGGGATAGAAGGAAGGTCTCTCGCTCTTGTTAGCTACCACTTGATAATCCTGAAGCTCTGGATATGCAACCACGGATGTTGCTCCCGAGATGGTGCTGGCGGTAATGGTGTTGGATGCATATGCGAAGAGACCCTGCAAAGCATTAACGTGTTCGTCTACTTCGGGCCACCCATTCTGTGTGTCCTTGTCAGAAACCCTACTCTATATATATATATATATCTCTGTCTGACGAACCCCATCTTACGAACGCTTGAGCGCCTCGTGGAAATAATTAATGGTTATGCTATTCCATGTATGACGATTAAACGTACATATGTATATATACTGTATGTAGCCATACTCGCGATATAGTCGCTAATCGTTCTAATCGTGCAACGAAACTTTATCTTACAATCTGCAAAAGAACCTTCATGGATTTATACCGCCTCGTAATAAAAATTACACGAACGTATTACGTGTTATACGTTTCTGTATATATATTTAATTTTCATTTCTTATATAACGTAGGATTATTACACGGGTGTAAATTTCCTACGAACTTATCAATAATTCTTCGGAAAGCTCGTTAAAAATAATGAAATGACTAATCTCGTCCGATTTTTTCTGTCTATGAATTTGATTTTTATTTATATCCACGAACCGAAGTCGAAATTGTGAAAATAAATTGGTCTTCTTATCAAATCGAATGTAAAAACCATGACCGTCGATCTTTAATGCAAATACATATTCAGTATTTCGAATCGGGAAGGATAAATCCGGAGAAATGTGCGCTTAAACGAATCCAGTTTAGTTTGCCAAGGACGGCTGGCTCGGGTCTCGGAGAAAGTGGTTTCGCTGGACCGTGCGTAACGTAAATACGTGACCACTCTTTCTTTCCCTTTTTCTTTCCTATATCGAACTATGTACAACCTTTAGCTAAATATTTCATTATTGCTTACAATTAGTTTCCTTTTAACTTCGAATAAATGAATAAATTTCCGAGATGACTCTCTGCGATAAATATTCGAATTCATTTAGCGTTGCACCTCTATAAAAATAAATGAAAAGGACAAGAATGGAACGCCCGTGTGTAGTATGTCTGTGTATGCGTGTGTTTCGTTCAATAAAACATGGTCCCTCATAACGCCTCTCGACTTGTGCGCTCACTTTTTGTCTTTTTTTTTTTTTCATTTTCTTTTTCGAAAAATTTCAAACGATATCCAAGTCTTTTCTCAATCACCAAAAGGTCGATGAACCAAAGTTTTTCTTTTTTCGTCAATTTTGAAAGAAACGAAATATCGATTTCGAATAGTCTCTCGAACCCTATCGTTCCCTCATTCGTTCGATATTAGCGCGTACGTGCGTACACGAACGCGGGTAGAGGGAAACACGCGTCAAGAAATTTGCTAATTAGCTGTCATCAGGAAACAATGATAGCTGCTATTTTTATGAGTGCCGTCGTTGTATGTTACTAACGAGTAGACCGAACTTTCTTTCTGGCGTATATATTCACGTTAGTTGTTAAATCGAAAATCAATATTACCTCGTAGAAAGTTGCGTTTCCGTGTAAATCGAAATTCAAAAACTGAAATATAATTTCTCGTCTAATGAAATACTTTCAAAAGTCGAAGGCCGAAGAGAAGAAGAAGAAGAAGAAGAGAAAATATAATAATTATTAAAGAATTCAAGAGAATCATCTTTGTCCTCGAAAAAGAACGGAACGAGTTTTACCTCGAGGGAATGTTGTATCGATTGGACAAAAAGTGAGATGTTTGTCCACTTAAAGAGGAGCCTCCTCTCTCTCTCTTTCTTTCTCTTCCAATGCCTTTCTAAGCAACCAACGGTGCACGCGATTGCGAAAGATCCTTCCGTGGAATCTCGACTTTCATTTTCAAGCGTTCCTCCCGACTCTCTCGCGACGTTCCACGAGCGCATGCTTATACACGTGATGCTGAGAAAGAAAGAGAGAGAGAGAGAATAA